ACACACACACACACATAATGACAAAAACTAAGAAAACTGTTTATCTTACCTAATGTGGCCACTTTTAATTTTGTTAGGAGAAAATAATGAATATAGATGACCCCAGGAGAAAACATAGATCGAGACTGAAAAGTTCATTACCTGGCGTTTGTGACTTTTCCCACTTACATATAAAAATAGAGCGTGGCTTTGTTTTAAAGCCACCCTGTTAGCATTTACAGATGCACACATTTTTGTGTTAGTTTTCCTCTCCAAATCCTCATCAAACCCCTAATAAGAAAGAAAATATAGACTATCTACCAAAACACATACTTTTTAGTTATTTTTGTTTATCAGGTATTAACAGCAGACTGTGTCCAGACATATTATTTACTCATAGAGGTTTCAGCTAGATGCTAGTGTGAGCAGACTCTGTAGCACACAGATATCAGATAGCTGATAGCTATCCCCTTCTAGTGTTAGCATGCTAACATTAGCTATACACACTGAACGCAAACGATAGTGGACACTTTTGTGACCAGGCTAAATCACAGAGAGTGAACTCTTTGTATTTTACCAATCAGCAGGTCAAACAAATAGTGAAAGACGTGATTTTGGTCAGTTTGATCACCTTGACCGAACTTGATTTTCAACATAAAAAATGTAAAATTAAATAAAAAGTATATAAAAATATCCTCTAATAACACTAGAAATGACTTGTCTGTAAAGGGTTAATCTTGAGAGAAACATACATCAAATATCATGTCAGTACAGATACTAAAATACTTTTGAATAATACATGTCAGCTTCATTAGTTAGATAAGTTGGGGATCCTTCTCTGAGGGGCATGTACAGCAGCGGTGAAGGGTTTGTGGACATTTTGAAACGTCCCTGTTTTTGGAAGAAAGATGAGAATAAATTGATCATTAATCAGAAATCTTTTATGAGGGACTGCGTAGAAAAATGTACAGAGTTGTGTGTTTCAGCGGCACAACGTGTTCCCTGATGGAATATTTAAAGGCTAATTCATCATTAGAAAACTTTTTAAATCGTGCTGACTCAGCAGAAAACCCTTTTGTTAATTAAATAAGGCTGCTGAGTCTCTGAAACATCAGCCTTCAACTACAGGCAGAAACGGCCAGTGAACAACTGTGTGTACAACTCCAGTCACAGAAAAATCAAAAGTAAATTTGATCTGAATAGAAAAAAACCCCAGGAACAAATCTTGAGAGTTCCTGGTTTGACATCTCACAAGTCCTCAACTGGAGGCTTCATTAAGCTGTAAATGTAACAGCCGCATTGTGCTGGTCTGGGTAGGGAGTCCTGCACGCTGTCGCATGAAAATTTCAACTTGTTTTCGAAATGAACTGCCACATAAGGCTTTTCTTTCTTCTGTTTCTAAGAACTAAAATAGTTCACGGCAAGTTTCACAAGATGGTGAATGATAACATGAATCATTAGCTGTCAAGACTTTGAGAAATATTCCATGAATAATGGGAGCCTGTTTTTTTTTCACTTGATAACATTTTGCAGCGTTTCAGTTCACTTAAAATTTGTTTGACAGCCGTAATGAAAACATTCCCAATCCAGCCTTCCAAATGGGACTGTCAGTACTAGAGCAGAGCACAGGATCATCAGTACCCTTTGGGCTTGATTCATACACACTGTAATAAGTAGCACATTGATATAGCAAGTGGCAGGGAGACAGAGAGCATCATTATTGGTGCCGTCTCCTGCCTGCATCCATTTAACAAATCTATTATAGAACATCACACACTGAGAAAGAGACGCATCTGTATCGCAGTCTGACAAATGGACTCTAACAGGAATGACTCATCAGTATAGAAAGTAGAAAGAGCCTCTGATGAACAGTCTGGATCTTTGTGACAGGACCATTTATGTTATATTTCAGCGTGTGTGTGTGTGTGTGTGTGTGTGTGTGTGTGTGTGTGTGTGTGGCACATATAATGAGCTGACAAAGCATGGTGACTTCCTGTCTGGCCTGTAAAAGCAGCATGATCTTCCTGTATCCTCTGCTTTAGGAGCCCACCTGGGGCTGCAGACACACACCACATACACTGTCTGGCAGCTGCACCTAATAAGCTACATGGATGGAGAAATTCCCTGTATTACGGTCTCGGTCGTCTTCCTCACTTTCCTCAGTGGTACCGTACTATTCACGTAGGTTGCCGGTGGGCGATGAATGTTTGTCTGACCTTCTTAGCTCTCATCCCACACTCTCTTAAAACTTGTGCCAAGCTTTAAGCCTACGCACAGAATATCAAGTGTGTCAAGAGTGTCAAGCCAAACACACAAGAAAACAATCCATAGCCCATAAGTCTATAAACTCAGTTGAATTTTTGGCTGAGTACCATGCAGAAAAAAAAAAATGTAACAACATTAATCATGGGCATTTTAGGAATTTAAGATGTGAATCAACTTGCTAGAAAGCAACCAAACAGCTGTTTAAAGTTACAATTGTTTGGCACATTACCCACAGGTTTTACCGGCTGTGTATAATGTGCACATTTTTTGTAAGCTCTTCTTAGGAAACATGATCCATGGAATTGTAGCAAAAATGACAATTAGACAAAGTTTAAAGTGCAGTAGTCGCATTGCACACAATTCAAGCTGTTTATTTGCTACATAAAGTGAGAACTTCACTATCATTCTGCACCTCTGTCAGCAACAATCACCCAGTGAGCTTTACAAGCATTTCTCACCCTAAAATAAATTTTTTTGCTACACCTTCCAAAATCATTGGGTACAAAAACAATCTGAGGCTATACTTCTGGAGCTACTTCCTACTTCACACTGAGCTTACTGTTGTGTCATTCATGAATTATGAAGATTTCACACCTATTACATGACCGACTTGATTCATTTGACGCAAAAACAACTTATCACTTTCATTTATAGATATGAGTTTTAGTCATTTTGGTCTGTTTTTCTGCACCCTGCATTTGGCATTACTCACACTTTACTCACTCACCAATCAGCATTAACATGTTGGTTTACTGATGCTGACGCTTGATGCTGGCTTTTATGTGTATTCACCATGACCAATATGAAAATACGGAAAAAATCTTAGTTATTCCTCCGGTACAGTAGTTGGAGTACTGGGGACTGTAACTATTCTGCAGGTTGCTGATGTTCAAACATTACCTCTGTGAGAACTTTCTCAATAACTCAAAAACTCTTACAGTACTTTGACAAGAAAGAATGAAGGACTATTTTTGTGTGTCTCAAAAAGACTCCATGGAATAAAAATAATAACCAATACTTTCCATTTCTTTTCTTTCCCAGCAATAAAATCCTGATGCACGTATTTTTTGTCCCCTGTTGCCTCAGTGTTTAAAAGGTGTTTCCCATTGCATTGGGATGCCTGATAAAATGCATCCTGCTACAAAAATAGATTTGATTGACCTCTCTGAGGTACTTCCATCATGTTTTTGTCTCTGTAAACAGCAGTAAACTTGTTTTGAAGTTTGGGACAAAGTTTACCTCGAGGACACTGGAAACACTTTCATGAGTAAGATGGCTCTTTAGAAGGCTGGTTGATAATATCTCAACAACATAATAATACTCTTGATAGTTCTGCAATGTGGAGGGCATTTCAGAAAAGCAACAACAGAAGACACAGAGCCTACAGTTCTCTAAGCAAGTCGCTGTTTCTTTCTTACAAACCCGCAGACACACGTTATCCTACCTCTGGTGTTGGTAGCCATGTCTGCCACCTTCTGAAAGGCATCAAGGAAGGCCACGGCAGCCAACACAGTGGTTCTATGGACAGAAAAAAAGCATTTTGACAAAACTTCAGCCTGACTTCACATGATATTAGGATATTATGGTATTATGGAATTTATACATAGACTATATTTAAAACTGTATATAAAAATGGAGCTGTACCAACAATACCTGCTGCTGTGTCAGTTTTAAAGCCTTAACTTCCTCAACTCATTTTAAGTAAGGTTTGGATTTAAGTGAAAAGGGTACAAGATTTCTCTAAGGCCTCTCACTAATAAAAACATTTTAACAACTAAAATAGATGAACACTTTAATTTCATTCATTGTCATTTCTGATTCATCTTTTGGATGCGACAGTGGGCATGTCTGAAAAAACAGAATGTGAATATTTTGAAGGAAACAGCGTTGCGAACAAAAGCAAGTGGAAAAGTCATGTCTGTGATGTGGGACTCATATACCTTTCCACAGTTTTTGCTAGGACTGTCCTACAAGAAATCTCAGAGTGTGTTAAAACTGTAACACCCAGTTATCCACTCCCATATTAACTGGTTTAATGCCCTATATTAGGCCCACTTTTCAGGCTACTGCATTCTCATATTTAGTCTATGCCTTTAAATGAAGTCTAAAGGCCTAAATACTGAAGGTAAAAAAAAAAATCCCAAATTCTCTCGACTTTAATCTGTCTTGTTTTGAAACTGGCATTAAATATTCTCTTAATATTTTCGTAATTCAAAAGCTGTCGACTGCGCAGTGGTGTGTTGTGCAGTGGAGCATACCGGAGTTGGGAATGCAGCTTGGTGGCCTTGGCGCTGAAGTCCTCCCACACAGGATAGGAGCACTGACAACACAAAGAAAGGGATCCACATTAAAATGGAAAAATATCATTTAATGACAAAAGTTTACTGCATATATGTGTTACCAAACCAAAATACACGTGTTAAAAAGAATGCCAGAAGAAAAAAGATAGATGAAGTCCCATATGGAAAAGATTTAATATAAATCTTAGTTTGTATCTGTCTTGTGTGAAACTTGTATGAAAAGCATACAAGAGTGAAAACAGATATAAGAGCCCTTGAAAAATTATATAATGAAACTTGTATGTTTTGGATACTTCCTAAAACAATATATGAAAGTAATGAGAAAGTGGCCACTTTCATGAGTAATCACATATAAGTTTTTACTATTTCTTTTCCATATGGGGTGGGAAGATAATGATGTAGTAATAATATTCTAACATGAAGAGTTGCTTTTGAAGAATAAAAAAAGTTTTACTTTTGAGACTTTGCATTGCATTTTGCTTATATATGTTTCTGTGCATGCGTGTGTTTAAATTGATACCAATAATGTTCAATATGAATTAAAAATAAACAAATATTCTGATAACAGAAAAGTGTCTTTGTTGTAAATTCACTACAGACTTTTTCATTTCATATGCTTTGATGTCCTTTAGCTCTACATTTTTCAAGTTAAAACCATACAGACACACACACATACGTTTTCATATCTTAGTGAGGACATCTCATTGACATAATGCTTTCGCTGGCTGTTTACCCTAACCCTTGCCATCAAAAATGAATGCCTAATCTGAATCCTAACCCTCAGCCTAAACCTAACCATAACCTAATTGTAACCTTGATACTAAAACTGCATTTTGAGCCTGAAAAATGTCTTCAAACTCGTGCGGATGGCATTTTGTCCCCATAAGTGACTGTTAGGCCCCACAAGTATAGTAGCATGGCATTTTTCTGTCCTCACAAAGATATCTAAACATGTACACACACACACACCAATTCCATTCTCTCCTCCATTGGTACTCTGCATCCCCCAATCCCTTTTTCACCCCCGCTTCACCCCGTCCTTCATCATCAACCCCCTCTCCTCCTCATGCAGCCATCTAATCCATCTATCCAACACACAGACACACAAATGCGCACACACACATATAGAGAAGACTTGACAGCCACTGGCATCAGGCAGCATCAAAGGGTCTGACTAGAACAGCCAAGATCGTTAACACAATTCAAAGCTGAAACGGTGTCTTAATGGATGCTACTCCCCCATCCTCCTAGCACTTCTTAAGACTCGATGATTCCTCTATCACACACCCCCAGCACATATTACATTATACTTGATCCAGGTTAACCTATAACCCTGTTAAATGCTTGCAAATTGTGTGTGCCGGGGGTTGGCGGGTGTATTTATATCAGCATGAGGTCAAAAATGTCTTTACAGGAACAGTGAAATATGAGAAATCTGCCAGTGTAAAATAGAAACTCGAGGAAATGGAGGGGATAATGAAAAAATGAAAGTGAAGGAAAGAAGGAGGAAGTGGATGTTTTTGTGTGTTTCTGGGGGGTGGGGTATCCTGTCGTGATGTCAGCCTGGCACAGACAGTAAGGCCTGTATACTCTTTGATCTGGCCTGTTTGATGTGGCTTAATTTGGTCTGAAATCACAGTACCATTTCCCCTTGGTACTGAAAGCTACTCCCTCTACCCTCTACACACACACACACACACACACACACACACACACACACACACACACACACACACACAGTAACCCTGCACCCTCCCTTTGCAGGAGCTTAAATAGTGTGGCTGGAAGATAAACCAAAGCGATGCCCTCCTCCTCGCACACACACTCATACATACACACGAGGGGAATCCTTCACTTTATTAGCATATTTGTGCAATTTCAATCCAATAAAAATTTGGTGGTAAGTTACTGTATGAAGACTGAGTAAGGATGCGTGTGATTGCTTTCAGCTTCTTAAAATGCAGGACACACACTGTATGCTGCTGTGAGGTATGAGGTATGATCAGTAGCTTCCAGATTAAATGAAGACTGTCTCTGTGGGATAGTGGCACTGAATATTCAGATGGCAGCATGGAGGCTTTGGGTTTGGTCTCGAGGCCATTCTGTGTGGCATTTACATGTTTTCAGCATTCCTGTGTTGGTTCTCTTTGGGTACTCCAGCTTCTTCCCGCAATCCAAAGACATGCATGCTGTTTTAATTGTTGATTCTAATTTTGCTATGGATTTAAGGTGCATGGAATTAAATGCTATACAAATATATGGCTAAACATGAATCGTAGTCTAAATTGCTTTTTTATACAAGTACCAGTCCATTTCTATTGGGTGTTCCTGTAAAGTAAACACAAGTTCCTTTTAATATTATATTTGCATACCATAAAATTTTACATTATTTATAATGTGTTCAACGGACCTTACTGGCCGTTTGAACATTTGTAAACCAAAAGAAAGAAAAAAAAATAGTAATAATAACTGGGAAAAGAGTCGGACTAGCACTGATCATTTTTCCACTGATTTTAAATTCAACTGTTTCATTTGTATTAATTTCCACAAAATATAGCTTGTGCTAGCATCAAACAGCATGGATAGTAAATCTCTTTCTCAGAACAAAAGATCAAAGAAACTGCCACAGAGATTTCATCTTTTATTTTAAAAAAATTAAGAAAAGATTGTTATTTCAAGGTGTAGAGGTTTATATTTGCTGGTTTGTTCTGGGATGTGTCTGCCCTTCCATGTGAAACGTGGGGAGAGCGGGACCCAGACTTTCAGGACCGAGCCAGAAGGCATCAGTGACAAAAGATATGACATTGATTAAGTCAGACACAACAGGCTAAACAGCTAGTCTAGCTAAATAACAAATAAAAACGATTGAATTCATAGAAAGGTATCAGGTGAGCCAACAGCTAAAGTAATTTGACACTGGATTTACTGGATACTCAAAAAAAGCATCAAGATTTTGCATAACAGGCATCTTTCTTGAAAAAAAGCACACAAAACCATCCATCCATTCGCTTCCGCTTATCCTTTTCAGGGTCAGCCTAACCCAGCTGTCATAGGGCGAGAGGTGGGGTACACCCTGGACAGGTCGCCAGTCTGTGGCAGGGCCAACACACAGGGACAGAAAGCCATTCACACCTAGTGGCAATTTGGATTATCCAATTAACCCACAAGCTGCATGTCTTTGGACAGCGGGAGGAATGCTGTCCAAAGACAGCCGGAGTACCCGGAGGAACCCACACAAACTCCACACAGAAAGACCCCTGATGGTGGAATTGAACTCAGGACCTTTTTGCTGTGCGGCAACAGTGCCAACCACCGTGCCACCGTGCTGCCTGCACACACACAAAACCAGTGATTACACAATTGGTACTTTTCTTTAGTTGACACTTAAAACCTATGAGGCTAACATTTAAGATATTCTTACAAAAACAGGGTCAGTGACACATGTGTGGACTTTTGCATTTAAGGAGATTAAAATTCCCTGGGCCTGCACAGCTTCTTGCTCCCTAAATATGTCGTTGCGTGTATGTTTGTCTCAACCAAAGAGCTAAAAGACCGCGACCATAACCACTGCTCTCAGATGATTGTGGGACTTGGAACATCACTGTGGCCGAGGGGCAAATACATCAGAGTGTGGGAGACACAGACAGTGGGAGACAGTGAGTGTGCGAAAAAGCTCTGGGATTGTATACTGTTACATCACCACTTCCTGTGTCACAAAAACATCAACAGGGCATGCACGATTACCTCTTGCTCACATACACAGACACAACAGCCATCCATTTATTGTAAACATAGCACCACTAAACTTTATCCCAGCCGTCTTCCTCTCATGTTAGTTAGTTGTTTAAAAATGGGTCAAATTCTAAAGACATTGGATCGGCCATGTATCAGCTGAGCGTGTGCATAATCATGAATTAGAATGGTTTTGTGTTCCTTTTATAGAATATCATAACAGAAATTTCAAGCGCCACTTCACCTCAACACTTTGTCTTTCTCTCTTCCTTTATAGCCTCCCTTCCTTCCTTTTTCCTTTATTGCTTCTTTTTTTGTGGATGTAGCAAAACCGAATGTGGTTAGACTGCTGAGCTGCTGCCTGGATTTCATGTTCTATCGAGAGTGGACTTGCACTCTAAGCAAAACCATTCATTATAATAGAAACCCTTTGAAAATAGCTTAGTGATAACTAACTAATCACTGTCATACAACAGTTTCTGCATCTGTCTATTTTGCTCATGAAGCTAAACAATCAGTTGTTTTTGGACTTACAGAACAGGATGATGAATGTGACCGCAAAATGTTGAAGCCAAATCACAAAAGTGTAGCTTTCTTTAAATTAATGGTGATTAACGTTCAAAGAACAACTGCATGTTTTTTTAATTGATTGGTTTTATTTTCTTTCCTTTTTCTCCATCCTTAGCAGTTTTGAATAACAAGGTTCATCTGCTTTGAGTTAATTAGTGGTGACAATTAATTAATTAGCGGTATCCCTGTTTCCATGTTATACTGATTGTCATGGAACATCTAGTAGTTATCAGAAAGCACTGTTAGTGGTGGACAGGGTAAGCAGTTGTTTTGGGTGTTTTTCCTTTGTTAAAAAAATCCTTTTTACAGTAAATGTGTGTTGCGAAAGCATATATATAAGTATCCAGTCTGAGCTTCAAAAGTGTATGTTCTTAATACAATACAAATTACAAGAAGTTGGGACACTGTGTAAAATGTAAAAACAAGTTTGCAAACCTCATAAACCAACATTTTATTCACAATAGAACACAGAAAACAAATGTTTTCAGTGTTTCCCAAAAGTGCGTACATGGCCATGTTTACCACAGCATAGCATTCTTTCTTCTTTTAACAACAGTCTGTAGAAATTTGAGTACTGAAGAGACCAGTTGCTGAAGTTTTGGGACAGGAAAGTTGTCCGGTTCTTGTCACATAAAGGGTTGTAGCTGCTCAACAGTCCAAACAAACAACAAAACTAATTTAGGATCATCTGTCAACTTAACCTGCTTAATTTGGACTG